ATATGTCATTTGCAAATATCTTCTCCCATTTAGTAGGTTGCCCTTTAGTTTTGTTGATGGTTTCCTTTGCCGTGCATAAACTTTTTATTTTGATGCAGTCCCAATAGTTTATTTTTGCTTTTGTTTCCCTTGTCTCAGGAGATTTATCTAGAAAAAAGTTTCTATGGCTGATGCCAGAGACATCGCTGCCTGTGCTCTCTTCTTCTTTTTTTTTTTTTTTAATTTTTTTTTCAACGTTTATTTATTTTTGGGACAGAGAGAGACAGAGCATGAACGGGGGAGGGGCAGAGAGAGAGGGAGACAGAATCGGAAACAGGCTCCAGGCTCTGAGCCATCAGCCCAGAGCCTGACGCGGGGCTCGAGCTCCTGGACCGCGAGATCGTGACCTGGCTGAAGTCGGACTGCGCCACCCAGGCACCCCCGCCTGTGCTCTCTTCTAAGACTTTTATGGTTTCAGGTCTCACATTTAACTCTTTAATCCATTTTGAGTTTATTTTTGTGTATGGCGTAAGAAAGTGGTCCAGACTCATTCTTTTGCATGTCGCTGTCCAGTTTTCTCAGCACCATTTGTTGAAGAAACTGTCTTTTTCCCCCTGGATATTCTTTCCTCCTTTGCCAAAGATTAATTAACCATATAATTGTGGGTTTATTTCTGGGTTTTCTATTCTCTTCGGATCTGTGTGTCTATTTTTTTGTGTGTCAGTACCATACAGCTCTTGTAACACTGCTTGAAGTTTGCTTTGCTTTTCTTTTTCAGGATTGTTTTGGCTATTCGGGGTCTTTTGCTCCTCCATACAAATTTTAGGATTGATTGTTCTAGCTCTGTGAAAAATGCTGGTGGTGTTTGATAGGGATTGCATTAAATGTGTAGATTGCTTTGGGGAGTATAGACATTTTAACAATATTTGTTCTTCCGATTCAGGAGCATGGAAAGCCTTTGTTTCTTTGTGTCTTCTTTAATTGCTTTCATCCGTGTTTTATAGTTTTCAGGGTACAGGTCTTTCCCCTCTTTGGCTAAGTTTATTCATAGGTGTTTTATTATTATTTTTTTCGTACAGATGGAAATGGGATTGTTTTCTTCATTTCTCTTTCTGCTGCTTCGTTATTGGTGTGTAGAAATGCAACAGATTTCTGTGCGTTAATTTCTGTCGTGTGACTTTACTGAATTCATTTATCAGTTCTAGCGGTTTTTGGGTGGAGTCTTTTGGGACGGATATATATATATATATATCTCATGTCATCTGCAAATAGTAAAAGTTTTCCTTGTTCCTTACTGATGTGGATGCCTTTCATTTCTTTTTGTTGTCTGATTGCTGTGACCAGTACTTCCAGTACTGTGTTGAGTAAAAGTGGTGAGAGTGGACAGCCCTGTCTCGCCCCTCTCCGCTTTTCCCCGTGAAGGATGATGTTAAATGTGGGGTTTTTTCTTATACGGCCCTTACTATGTTGAGGTATGTTCTCTCTAAACCTACTTTGTGAGGGTGTTTTTTATCGTGAATGGATGTTGTACCTTATCGAGTGCCTTTTCTGCACCTGTTGAAACGATCATACGGTTTTTATCCTTTCTCTTATTGATGTAATGTATCATGTTGATTGATTTGCGAGTATTGAACCACCCTTGATCCTGGGAATAAATCCCACGTGATCCTGGCAAGTGACATTTTAAATGTGTTTTTGGACTCAGTTTGCTGGCATTTTGTTGATGATTTTTGCATCCATATTCATCAGAGTTATTGGCCTGTAGTTCTTTCTGGGGGGAGGGTAGTGTCTTTATCTGGCTTTGGTATCATTCCCCTTTCTCTTCTCTTTTTTGGAATGATTTGAGAAGAGTAGGTATTTGGTAGGATTCACCTGGGAAGCTATCTGGTCCTGGGCTTTTGTCTGGTGGGAGTTTTTTTTTTGTTGTTGTTTGTTTGTTTTGTTTTGTTTTTATCACCAATTCGGTCTCCTTGCTGGTAATTAGTCTGTTCAAATTTTCTGTTTCTTCCAGCTTCAGTTTTGGTAGGTTATATGTTGCTAGGAATTTATCCTTTTCTCCTAGGTTGTCCAATTTGTTGGCATGTGGTTTTTCTTAATATTCTCCTACAACTGTATTTCTGTGGCATTGGCTATTTCCCCTTGTTCTTTGGTGATTTTGCTTGAGTCCTTTTTTTTTCCTTGATGATTCTGGCTAAAGGTTTATCAATTTTGTTGATCTTTTCAAAGAAAGAGTTCCTGGTCTCATTGCTCTGTTCTGTTTTTAGTTTCTATGTAATTTATTTCTGTTCTAAATTTTTTTTAAGTTTATTTATTTTGAGAGAAAGAGGGAGAGAGCCGGGGAGGGGCAGAAAGAGAGGGAGAGAGAGAATCCCAGGCAGGCTCTGCGTTGCCAGTGTGTAAATGTGCTCATGAACGCATCTTGAAATTTCGAGGAATCGGCATAGGGTTAAGAATTAGGGCTAATTTTGAATTTTTTTTTAATGTTTATTTATTTTTGAGACAGAGAGAGACAGAGAGTGAGTGGGGGAGGGGCAGAGAGAGAGGGAGGCACAGAATCTGAAACAGGCTCCGGGCTCTGTGCTCACGAATCTGAAACAGGCTCTAGGCTCTGAGCTGTCAGCACAGAGCCCGATGCGGGGCTCGAACCCACGAACCGTGAGGTCATGACCTGAGCCGAAGTCGGACGCTTAACCGACTAAGCCACCCAGGCGCCCCATGAATTAGGGCTAATTTTGAAAGAATATGGCCAGCTGGTTGAGTGAAAATGAAGTGAAACTCGGTGGCATATTAAAAAGAGCATAAGTGATGGTAGGAAGGCAAAAAGAGCACGTGTTGGTGTAAATATCCAATATGATCAAGCTAATGAGTGTTCATGCTGCCTGAAAATTCATCTCAAGATTGTTAAATAAGGGATTATGGCTTGCTCAAATAGAGGTGAAATGTTCTCTGTAAATACTTATAAATTCCTTAGGTTTACATATTAGTAATTGTCCCTTAAGATGTGTTTATTTCTTTCTTTCTTTTTTTAGAGAACAGATTTTTTTTTTAACGTTCATCTGTTCTGAGAGAGAGAGGGAGAGAGCGAGCGTAGGGGAGGGTCAGAGAGGGAAAGAATCCCAAGCAGGCTCTGCACTGACATGTGGGGCTCAGTCTCAAGGACCGTGAGATCGTGACCTGAGCCGAAAGGGAGTCGGGTATTAAGATGTGTTTCTTTAACTCTTGAATTATTTTTTCAGGGGTTGTGTATTCACGATGGTACCTGGAAGTCAGCAGTTTACGGTTTTGGAGATCAGAGTAATTTGAAAAAACTGCGAAATGAAGCAAATCTGAAACCCGTCCCAATTATTGGTCCGAAATTGAAAAGAAGGTATATTAACTCAAAATCTGTTCTTTAGTACATCTGGTCTCAGTATATTGTCATTGATCTGATTATTAATAAAGTATGCTACTAGAAAATCCTGAGACTGTTCTATAGCAAGTTCAGGGTTGTCTTCATAGCTACATAAAATACAATTAATGCATTATTCTAAGCTTAAGTACTTTGATATTAATATATTTGGACTCGGGGAAAATTTTTTTGAATTTTGTGACTTTTCCATATCAAAATCAAACATCAGCTAAACTTTATGCAGTAAAACCTCCATTTTAAAGGGTGATGATCTTGGGGCGCCTGGGTGGCGCAGTCGGTTAAGCGTCTGACTTCAGCCAGGTCACAATCTCGCGGTCCGTGAGTTCGAGCCCCGCGTCGGGCTCTGGGCTGATGGCTCGGAGCCTGGAGCCTGCTTCCGATTCTGTGTCTCCCTCTCTCTCTGCCCCTCCCCTGTTCATGCTCTGTCTCTCTCTGTCCCAAAAATAAATAAAAAACGTTGAAAAAAAAAATTAAAAAAAAAATAAAGGGTGATGATCTTGTGTAGATTATCTGTTAATAGCACTCTTCTGTGAAAACTTTGCATGTGAGAACTCTAAACTCGCCGTAGAGTTTGGCTGTTGAAATGAGTGTCGTCTAGGGAAACCGGTGGGCTAAAACGTAGCTACACTGTGTTCCGCGCCCTCAGAATGCTGTCCCACCTGTCACTTGTTTGGTGTAGTGGGGAACACGGACGTTTTAATGAAGGGCAGGTCTGCCTTTAATGAAGGGCAGGTCTGCTTCAAGAAAAGTTGAATGTTTGGCTCACAAAGTCACCAAGTTAGCCGTAAGTGGAGAAAACGCACCGCGGTCACGGGTCTGCCTTGCAGGTGGCCACTTTCCTACTGCAGAGAACTCAGCAGCTACTCGGTCCCTTTCCTGGGAGCGGATGTGTCTGTTGTGAGGCGGACCCAGCGCTACCTGCACGAGACCTTGGAGCAGTCTCCCGTAAGTGTGCCCGATTTAACTCCTAACAAAGAGCACTGCGTTCGTTCCAGCCCCCCTGCTGTTTAATGTAGGAGCTTTAGATGTGTAAAGAAAAACAGGAAGGCCAGCCAAGGCGCGCCTCAGTTTCTGGAAGTGCACGGAATGGGGCGCGGAGAGCACTTCGCATTGTGGGAGTGGAGGTAGCCTCCCCACAGTTCAGACCTGGCCCGCCGAGTACCTTGTCGTTCAGGCAGAGGAAGCTACATTTTCTTTAAAAAATATGCTCCCAATGTCTGCTTTCTGAACAAGCTTTTAGAACGTAACACGTTCATAAAACGGAGAGTGCTTTTGCTCAGCATTTTTGAGGACAGAGTAAGTTACAAGTAGCCGACACGCTTGTGTTACTGAGTCTGCAGACGTAGGGGTGACATTCTGACTTTGTCCCTCTCGTAGGTTCAGTACGCTGCTTATATAAACATGGGAGGCGTCACCTCTGTTATTAAGCTGATGTTTGCGGGACTTTTCTTTTTATTCTTTGTGAGGTTTGGCATTGGAAGGCAACTTCTCATAAAAGTAAGTAATATTTTAACGAAATTAGGTCTTTACTAGTATTTTCCGTGAGTTTTAAAAAAATGTCACTGAGCGTTTTTTTTTGTTTGTTTGTTTTTTCCCTTAGTTCCCATGGCTCTTCTCCTTTGGTTATTTTTCAAAACAAGGCCCAACACAAAAACAGGTAACCCTTTCTTTTGTATACAGGTCTTTAAAATAATAATTTTCCTTAATTTGTTTTTACTTTTCCTCAGTGCATTTACAATAACAGATAAGACTTGATGGGGCACTTACCATGTTAACAAGTGCTTTTATGTAGCTTTCATAAGTTAGATCACTTAGTCTTTTCAGACACCCCTTAAGGTAGGTATTATCTCCACTTTACAAATGAGGAAACTGAGGCACAGAGGCCAAGAACCTTGGCCAAGCTCCTACAGTGAGTACATAGCCAAACTAGGGTGAGGCCTCATAGTGATCTCAAAAATGTTTAGTCGTCCATGTTTCTCCTCCCCCCAGGCTGCACTTCCCCTCTTCCACGACACTACCCTCCCCCTTCCCCCTCCCCCCTCCTCCCCCACGCTACCCTCCTCCCCTCCTCCCCCACGCTACCCTCCCCGTTCCCCCCCCACACCACCCTCCCCCTTCCTTGTCCCCTTCTCCCCCTTCCCCCTCCTCCCCCATGCC